CAATAATTTAAAAATGTGTTTGGAAGTAAGTGCTCTGAAAACTGTGTAACTTCAAATAGCTATAGGATAAGTTAGCTGTAGGATAATTCTAAGTAGACCAGGCCTATGTAGAGGTAATTGTATTACCTCTATAGGACTTTACACAGATGAGCTTGTAATTTTTAACTGGTTAAATAAATAAATAAAGCATTTTCTTCAGTGAAGGAATGAAGTTAAACACCTTTGCTAATAACCACCATAGCTGTTATTGACATAATAAAAATGCAAACTTGCTTAGGGATCTCACCCAATACGCACAAAAGAATAATGGTTAGGCATTCTTGGAAATGAAGTTACTTATTTTTCTCGATTAACATTTAACTTGTTGTTCAAATTGAAATATGATATGATAAGTTAAAAACAGCGCCTCGTTTATGGTTTGATTTGAGAAATGATGATGGTTATTTGGAAAATCTAGTTAAACCATGTTTAAAGTACAGGTCGATTGTTCACTTTTTTGCTTAAAATGTTATGAACGCAAACCATTAGTTCGAATTTAGTGTTCTTGCGGTATCAAAGAATAAATTGAATAACCTTTTACGAGAAATATCACTTAACGGATAGTGTCCTTTATAATTATATGCCCGAGTGACGCAAATATATTTAAAATTTTAGCGGAAATGTGTGTTAGACCTGAGTTGACGTGTTTTATTATAACCGACCTTCAGCTCCAAAAATAAAAATTATTTCTATGTTTTCTTCGAAAGTATAAACGATTTTTGTGGACTAATCACATACTTAATACGGTTCACTGATTAAACGTATATCCTTGATTTCGTACCTATTTTTCAATAACCTGACACGTTCGAAACTCCATAAGTAATCCAGTTTGTTTTATTCTATTTTACAATTTTCTTTATTATTTAGATTGAAAACGACTGATTCGAATCGACTGAATAGGGCTCTTGCAATGGAATCTACAATCTTTATTATGGGGTTTTACAGCAGAATGAGATATTGATTTGAATGTCCGCCCGTATATCTAAATTTTTGGTAATTCGTCCAAACTTACCACACGTGATGACTTTGCCTTCCTAAACTAAATGGTCGACTGCAAAACTGTGAAAATCCTGTCTGCTATTATTAACAGTTGTCTACTCAAATTACTTTAATTTGAAGATGTTAATACTCAATTGTGTCAACGGAAAACAGCGACGTAGTCTTCAAAAAATTTGGTGCAAACAATCACCATAAGATGATTCCTAGAGAACTAGAGAGTGATATAAATTAGGCAACGAATTTTATATCAATGAAATGATTTGCATAAATGTTGAACTATAAATTTGCACTTTTACCTGCTAAAGCAAAATCTAAAAATAATTTTTGATCAGCAAATATGCATTCCTTAAATTGTATTTACATCGGTCTATATTGTTGTTTAACCGAGGTACATCCACCTGAAGTGTAATTAATAATTTTTACAATCCAAATTAAATATTAGAACTGAAGATTTTTTATCTCCATGACTTTAAGAAATGTATAAA